CCCCCAGCATGGCCCCGCCCCTCCGCCTCCCTCCTGGTCCCGCCTGTCTCCTGGACTCAGCAGCCGCCGCCAGTGACCTCTGACCTCGGCCTGGATCACGTGACGCCTGTCATGGCGGCCTCCGTGGCCGCCGGTGGCGGGGCTGTGACTCGGCTGCTGCTGGGGGCGGCCGGGGGGCTGCGGCTCCGCCCGGCGCGGGGCTTCCGCACGGCAGGTGGGCGGGGCCGGGGGGGCAGCCCCCCCAGTCTCCGTGGGGCGGGGCCCCCCGAGCTAGGGCAGAGCCGCGCGTGGGGCCCCCACAGCCACGGGGGAGAAGCGGGCTCGGCTGGAGCTGCCATGGGGCGGGGGGGGGGGGACCCCTGTGAACTGGGCTGAGCCCCCCCAGACTCATGTCACCATTCTCCCCCTAGCGGGGTGTGATTGCAACCGGCGTGCGACACCCCCGTGCAAGTCGCACGGTGCTGGTGCGAATGGTGCCAACGGGGTGTGCCCTGGTGTCCGACGCCCGGCTGCGCACGAGGCTGACTTGTTCTGCAGGAGCCTGCGTGTCACCCGTTGGGTGTTGGGCGCCTACAGGACGCACCCCACTTCCCGCTGCCTTTCAGTGTGAATTGGGCTCCTAATTCCCTTAGGCACCTTCCCACGGTCTCGGTCCAGTTGGGATTAATGGTCCTGCCCTATACATGGGCTTGAGCCTGACGCTCATTCTGTCCATTGCCTATTCGAACTGGGCCTATTTTAACCTGCCATTCCCATCCCTGCTGCCTCCCCCTGCCCCGTCAGGGACATCCCTGCGCCACCTCCTCGGGTACCGTCCCAGTACACTGTTTGCCCCGTGAGCTTTCAAGCTCCTGCCCCGGTCACGCTGGGCTGACGGGCCCCGGGGAGGTCGTCTGCTAGCTGAGCTGCAATGTATTTTTCCCAGGGGTGTTCCAGGCGGAAGACGAGAGCTGCACAGCGGAGCCCGTGGGCGACATGTGAGTACCAGGAGCCGCAGATGGGACTAAGCTCAGGCCCTTTTTGCAGCCATCGCGTTGGAGGAGTTACGCTGCCTCCTCAGCCAGGACGGTCTCTGTTTTCAGAGGCTGCCAGACCTGGTCCAGAAAGATGTGGGGCAGTAGTGGGCTGAGCGCAGCACTGGGGTGCAGGATGCCTGGGTTCTAATCCCAGGGCTGACCCCGACTCCCTGTGTGACCTCTGGCAAGTCACTGCCCCTCTTTGTCCCTGGTCAGTAAAACGAGGATCAAACCTGCCTCCCTCACCAGGCGGATGTGAGCACTGGGGTATCCAAATGATAGCTCCAGATCCTGCCCCTGCCCTCTGCAGGGGGGCTCAGAGAATGGGGTCATGGGGGGGGCTCTGCAGCCCCGCAAGAGTGGCAGCATGGCCACATGGGTGCAGCGCTGGGCTGGGATTCGGGAGACCAGGGTTCTGTTCCCAGCTCTGCCACTTGGGCAAGTCTCTGGCTTGCTCTGTGCCTCAGTTTCCCCACCTGTCACATGACTAGGATGAGCCTGACCTTGCTCTGTAATGCGCTGTGCAACCTGTGGCTGGCATGTGGCTAATGCCTGTCAATCGCCCTGGTGGAAGAGAGAAGCACCAGGATTGCCACGTGGTCCCATTCCAGCTGGCTCGCAGGCTGCCCTGACATTTGGAGGTCTGGTGTGTGTGCCCCGAAAACTGATCCCCCTCACCCCCGTCAGCAGCCCTGGCTCCATTCACTCTATATAATCCTGCTAGCCCCCGTCTTCCAGTGGCTGCAGGAGGTGGCCGGATCTGATTGTGTTTCCCCAACACCCCCCTTCCCTCCTCTAGAGTGAACGTGGTTTTCATTGACCGTTCCGGGCGCCGGATCCCCGTGCAGGGGCACGTGGGGGAGGACGTGCTGCGCCTGGCCCAGAGGCACAACATCGAACTGGAAGGTCTGTGCCGCTCTGCCCTCCCCTGCCCCGGGCTGGGAGGTAGACGATCGGGGATGCAGACAGCTCCGTGGGCCGGCGTGAGTCAGGCAATCCCTGGGCCCCGGCAGCTGCCAGCGTCTGGTATGGCCACGGGAGCACTTGGAATCTCTTCAGTGCTCCCTACCCCCTCCCTGCATTTCAGGGGATTTGCCAAGTCCCCAGAGGGGGACCATGGTGTAGGGAGGTGGGAAGGGGCAGGGTGGGGTCAAGCTCATGGTCCCCCCACGTTCCTCCCTGTAGCCAGACTCCTCTTCCCCCCAGGAGCCGGCAGGAGCTGAGGCTGAGAGGGAGACCCAAGAATCCAGAGTGGGGGCACTGAGGCAGTCAGGCTGCTGGAGGGTGTCCCAGAGCTGGACCCGGGGGCGGGAGGGGTCAGAGGTGAGGGACTCATGTAGTCTGCCCTCACTACAGGCACACGGCTGGGCTCCCCCTTCTCCCTGGGGGCAGCTCAGGCACCCCCTCCCCCCTTCCACTGCAGGGGCCGTGTCTGCCCCCTGACCCTCCGCTCTTGTGTTCCCAGGCGCCTGTGAAGCCTCCCTGGCTTGCTCCACCTGCCACGTCTACGTGAGCCAGGAGTTGGTGGACAAGCTGCCTGTCCCTGACGAAAGGTAACGGCCTCTGGGCGCCTGGGCCCTGCTGCCCCCCACACACACCAGGAGGGCAGGGCTCTGCGAGAGCCTAACACTGTATTCCTCCCCCCGTTGTGCTGGGTGAGCGAGAGCGGCCCCCCCGTGTGCTGGGTGCAGCAGCAGGGTCCCTGCTCCTCACTGTCTAAACAGACCAATGAAGAATTTTCTCCATTTTACAGGTGAGGGAAACTGAGGCCCAGAGCCAGTCATTGCCCCTCCCTCCCGGTCACCCCAAGCATTGCTGAAGCTGTGACTCGAACCCAGGGCTCCTGGGGCCCAGTGTTTTAGCCCCAAGCCTGTTCTTTCCCTTTGCAATACTGCGTGGGGGCTGTTCAGCTGCTGCCCTTCCCCCTCCTCCCTCCTCCCCCCCAGCTGCAGCTGCATTTCAGTGAAACAGTCGCCTGCGTTCAGCCTGGAAAATGCTGCCAACCAGCTAACGTCCCCCTGCCATGCGGACTCACCCTTGACTCTTTGGCTTCCCTAGGGAGGAAGACATGCTGGACCTGGCCCCGCAGCTGCAGGAGAACTCCCGGCTCGGCTGTCAGATCATCCTCACCAAAGAGCTGGAGGGGGCGGAGTTCACCCTGCCCAAAATCACCAGGAACTTCTACGTGGATGGCCACGTTCCCAAGCCCCACTGAAGGCTGGAGGAGTCTCGGGGCTGCCCGTGGCTCTGGGGCTGGGCCTTAGAGAGCCCAAAGCAAGGGGGGCTGGTCGGAGAAAGCTCCCCCTGGGGGCCTGCTGGTGACATGGAGAGGTGGGGGGAGGGGTTGTTAGTTTTATAGGCCCAGGGTGAAGTGCTGAGCTTCCTACAGGCCTGGGGGCGGGTGGGGGGAAGAGGAGGAAGATGGCAACAGCAAAGATGCTAGAATAACCCCCCCGCATCCATCCCAGCTCTGCCACCCCCTCCCCAGCACCTGTGCTCACAGCCCCAGAGGCGACGTGGGACAGAGGAGGAGAGGGG